GCGGACTTTCGCAATCCGAGCTTACCATTCCCAGTGCACGTCCCTTCCTGCTGATATGTCATGTTGGGCATGCTAAAGCCTGAAATGTCTTGATTTCTTTGAGGGAGGTTAGGTTGATGCTGCATGTCTTTCTGGACCGGCCTGTTTTCCTGTCAGTTCTGTAACGAGGTTTTGGATAAGAGGCTGTGCAGAGCCAAAGTTTCTAGTTCCAGCATCTTGGCCGCATATTTGCTGAGGTTGGAAGCCCTAGAACGATGCAGATGATGAGCTGTCTGTGGACTGCCGAGAAGCCCCAAACACGCCTTCAGATGCGAGCCCTGAGCCCTAAAGCTGAAGCCCTAGTATTGAAAGCACTTTTCCCAGGTGTTGTATTCAACCCTACTTTGGGGTTTAGGGCATTGTGTTCTGGTTCTGAGCTTTAACATGGGTTTCAGCCCGATAGGCCCTTCAGACCATCTGAAGCCATCAAACCTAACACCCGAAGCTCAGAACTTGAGCTCTTGCTGCGTGCTTGGTCCTACGACATCACGAGCCCCCGGCACCGAAGTCCAAGGGCAAGGGAAGGGCCTAGAAGCAGAGCCCCGCACGGGCAGGACCACGATGGCAGGACACCGCTTCACAGGGCTGCTTGGCAGGGCCACGAGAAGACTGCCCAGGTTCTCCTGGATGCAGGCGCAGATGTTACGGTTCACGACCCGGAAGCAATTTTCTTCCCAGATACTTGTAGGGAAGAAGTGTACAGAGGAAAGCAGCAGAGGAGAGGGTAGGTGAGGCCCTTGTAAATCGAGTGTATTTGGGTTCCAGTGTCTGCTGTTCCGGCTCTTCAACACGCTAGTTGAGAGTTCTGAATCTTAGACATCTGAAGACGGGGCCGTGCAAGGGTTCTCAAGGAAAGGTGGCTCCAAATCTCCATCATCATCGCTGAGGTGAGGTGAGGAAAAGCCAAGTGCAGTAGTCTTTAGCAATGCCAGGAGATGTTGCTCAGCTCTGAAACTTGTTGGGCCCACGATCTGGGCGGCATTGAGGGTTTTGATGTTTTGAAGGCATCAGACACAGGCAGGTGGTTAGCGGAAATAGGGCTTGTAGCCATCATGAGCCAGGTGGAATTATCCTTGTCAGCAACATTCCCCCAATGTCAGGAAGTAGAGCTTATTCTGATGCCATGCATGTTACTCGTGCACACCGCAACCTCTTCGGTGGTCAAAAGAGCTGGAGATAGCAGGGTTCACTACGGACCCTTGCATGGTAGCGGAGCCCGGACCAAATCGGGTTGCCCCGCGGAGTCGCTCCTGCAGGGGCCCCGCGAGCGAGCTCACTGCGGGCAGCCCCCGCGTGAGCAGAGAGGCTTTGCGGGAATCCCCGCAGGCCAAGCCGGCTGGCGGTCGAAGCCACGCCGAAGAACGAGGCGTCCGGAGCAAGGAGTCCCAAGATCGGTGACAGAACCGAGGCCAGGCGCCTAGCAGGAACCCAGAAGAGCAAGCCTCCCTTGCCCAGGCTCGAGGCAGAGGTTTGGGCAACGGGCCGTCGCGGAAGTGCTGACCTACGATCCTGCGCAAGCTGTTAGCGCGGCCAGGGCAAAGTCGAAGAGCCCTCGTAAAGCCCGCGCGAAGGACGCGGCAAAGGCTGCAGGGCTCCAGGCTGCACGGGAAAAGCAGCACCGGGAAGCCACCTCTCCGCCCGTTGAGGCTTGTGCCGGGGGCCGGGCGACCAGGACCAGACGGTTCCGAGCGGTTGCCCAAGGCCAAGCATCGCCAGGAGCTGCTCGAGGCAGCAGCCGAGGAGATGGATCCAGCAGCTGCCCTGGCCCAGGTTGCCAAAGGGCTCGCCAGTTCATCCTACGCTCCGGGACTTTGGCTTGGACGAAGCCTCCAGCTCCTGTGACGAGCGGACCAAGGCCAATCGCCTTTGCTCAGGAAGCGAGTGCTCAACCGCTCCTCTGCAGCGGGCCTTCGATCACGCCTTTTAGAGAGCAAAGCAAGGAAGGCAGTGAGGCCGCAAGCTGCTAAGCAGCAGCAGGAGTTCAACCAAAGGATCCTAGCACAGGAGTCCGAGCTTCAACAGCTCCGGAGTGTTGGGAATGATCCCTTGCGGAAGGTGTCGATAAACACACCTGTCCCTCAGGTGCGGGTTGCCCCGCCCTCAGACAATAACCTAAACTTGGTTGACCTCCGGCAGCATCGGATACCTTTAAGGGAGAGGCCAATGAGTTCTCGGATTGGGCATTTATCCTCAAGACCTTTCTGGCCTGCATCAACCCTCAGTATGTGGGCTTGTTGGCGAGGGCGGAACAGAATCGCAGCCCGATGCCCAACAGAGCCTTGAGGGCCAGTGATCAGCAGTTGAGCGCCAAGTTGTACTGCATTCTGGTAATGCTCACGCGCGGCCGTCCACTGGACGTGCTGTACAATGCTGGCATTGGCGAGGGCGTTGTGATGGATATAACTTTTGTGGCAAGAGTACGGCCCAAAGGTTGCAAGCCGTTTCGTTGGAAGCCTCTCGGTTCTTTTGGGAACCAAGCTTGGCCAGGACGTCGAAGCCGAACTGGCCGCTTTTGAGCGGTCATTGCGACAGTTGGAGTCCGAGTCTGGAAGCAGATTGACGAAGAGTTTCTGCTGGGTGTTATCATCAACGGGCTCACGGACGCAACGCTTCCCGCCTCACTACCTACTCCCAGGTGAAGGCGGAGCTGCTATAGATTGGTGGAACCAACCGGGTGACACAGCAGCTGCCCCAGCCGATGGATATCGGTGCTTTGCCTAACAAAGGCGGAGGGAAATGGAAGGACGGGGAAAAAGAAAGGACAAAGGAAAAGGCAGGCGAAAAGGCAACCCAGGGTCGTCCAACCAACAGCTCTGCTTCTACTGTGACAAGCCGGGACACACGAAGGCTGAGCGCAGAAAGCGCATAGCCGACGAGAAGGCCGGCAAGGAGAGACAAGCCAGCTCCCAGAAGGCCAAGGCGAAAGCAAAGCAGGGAGGCGGCAGATACTACGGCTTAGCGGAAAAGTGACTTGTCTTCGCACCGGTAGCGGAGCTCTCGGTTAAGAGAACCAGAGCTCGAGCCCGACAGTTTGGCTTCCTGGTCTATGCTGGGACATTTCGTGATTTTCCACAAATGGAGTTCCGTGCTATGACTAGATGGAAGCAGACGAAGGTCGACGAGTGATCGGACCTCGCATCCAAGTTTCTCGACTCCTTAAGGAGCGAGGGATACATCGTAGCCGCAAACCTGAAAAGAAACATCCTCTTCTCGAACGACAACATCCCCAAGGTCATAGAGGCGGTAAGGGAAAGACTCTTTCCTCTCCCCGAACAGGAGTCGAAAGAGCTGCACCGCCTCGGCACGCAAGTCGGCGGTGTGCTGTCGCGACAGCCTGGAGAGCCAATGATATCCTACATAGATAGGAGAAACCGCTGGCCACGCCTTCGCAAACTCCAGCAGCTGGATAAAGCGAGGCACATAAACGAAGCCGTTTTGACAGACTTGCTGCTGGACAACAGTGGTCTCAACCGCCAGGAAAGGTTGATGGTGATGACGGCGATGGGAGGCAGCACAGCAACCAAAGATGCTGCAGCCTCGCTGATCAAGATGCATAATCGCATCCGCACATTGGAGCGATGCCAGCCCGCCACCAAAGATGACAAGGGCAAGGGCAGAGGCCATCCCTACAAGGGAGGTCATGGCAAAGGCAAAGGTAGAGGATACGGTAAAGGATCCCAGAAGGGGACCGCGTACACGAACCTCTCTGCGGTTGAGGATCTCTTCGACACCTACCCGGACGGAGAAGACGAGGATGGAACGGCATACCTGGCCGGACAGCAGGAGGAGCCAGACGCCTCATATACGAAGTTCGCGTGGGCGAGACACCGAGCTGGTGGCCCAGACAGCCGACGCATCCCTAAGGGACGTCAAGCTAGACGTCTTCACCTCCATTCGCAGCTCCGAGGGCTTCGATGAGACCGATCGTGACGCTGTGGTCTTTCTCGCGGCCGCAGTTCAGTGCGAGACCGTTGCCTTTATGGCACGGGCCAAGGCGAAAGGAAAGGCAAGCCCGTGATGTCAGGAGGGGCACACGCTGTCGCCCACGCGGCGCTGGTCTGACGGTAGAAGACCGCAGACGGAAGCTCCGTGAGATCAAACTCAGGAGCACGTGCAAAGCGTGTGGCAGAAAAAGGCCATTGGGCCGGAGATGAGGAGTGCCCAGGAAAAGGCGCAGCGAAGCTTGCAGTTGCCCACCTGGTGCAAGCAACTCGTCGTGTGATGGATAAATACACAGACCTGCGACCTTGGCACTCCCAGCCTCACGGAGAGCCAGAGTTTTGAGCCAGAGGCGACGGCCAACTACGTCAGCCTTGGGCAGGACTCTGAAACAGAGCCTGCGGCGTACATGGTTTCTTCGACAAGACCGACTTTGAGGAGTCCGACAAAAGGAGCACCGTCACTTAGGGCGGTTGCACTTCGCGGAGGCAGACTCTCGAGAAGGCGAGGTGAGCGGTGACCCTTGAGAAGGCACCGAAGAGCAAGCTTGGCCTTCTTAGGCCGGATCCCAAAAAACTGTGCGAAGGAGGGTGCCCGGAGCACGCGCGTAACCGCGCGGTCAAGACGACGTGCATGCTGTGCGGCAACCGCACCTCTGCTCCAAGGCCAAAGGCTGTACCGAAGATGACCCGCGCACGTGCCCGCGCGAGCGCACGGACAACTGCAATAGCACGAGATCGGTGCACCGGTCACCTTCTGTTTGGACTGTTGCACCTCAGTGGAAGAAATCCCTCAGAAACTCTGTAAGAAGCAGAGGGGTTTGAGCAGGTTCAAGATTTGGGTGCGGAAGGATGGCCAGCGCCGACTGGTAGACGACGGCGTGGTGGAGGAGCCGACCCCTGCAGGGGCAGCTCAGGCGGCGACGGGACCAGCCGCAAAAGCAAGGCCGCACCACCGGCCAGCGACCACGCCAAAGCCGATCCCTCAGCGCAAGGTTCTGCCGATCCTACTCAGACGGCTGCATGGTGACGACGACGACCAGCCAACGGGCCACGCAGACACCTTCTCCGCCGACACGCCAGAGTGAGTGTTCCGGACCACTTGCGCCCGGAGCTGAAACGACCAGATGCAAAGGCCATGGAGAAGGGGACCACATGTCACTCATCTGCAACGTTGCCGCGAAGTACTTAGAGTACGAGGCAGCGAGGGTGGTGTCACTGGTGGCAGATTTCCGATCCGGAAAGCGGACAGAAAAGGAGTGGGACACCGACCTGGACGAGGACACAAGGCAACAGCACCACAAGGCGCGACAGCTGGGGGCCCGACCGCTCCAGCGGCGGAGCGCGACAGGACCAGATCGGCACAGCCCGACAGGTCAAAGGGCCGTGGCAAGAAGGGCGGACACGGCCCACACAGAGGCTCGCCACGACTTGATGTCGATGAGACAGAACCCCAACTTCCCGAGCACGCTCACCGAGGCCTACCTGTCCCAGATTATCTCTGGATATATGCGGCACGGAGACATAGCTTTTAAGTCGTGGTTGCACCCGGGCGGAAGGCACGAGGGTACAGGCCCAACCGTATACGTGTCTCGTTCCGAGAGCGTACGCAGCAAACAGCTGGGACAAAGCTCCAAAACTGAGCTGAAACAACATGACGTAAATATACGGCGGTGCAGTGGACAAGCGATCAAGCTTGGGAGTGGCGTGAGACCGAAGAATCTGCTCACCAGTGGACCTATACTTATCGCTATGCATGATCACCGTCCTCGCCACATGTTGATCTTCTTGATCCCTCCGCGAGGAGGCGGTGCGTACAACGTGGGAGGACAGCTTCCGGATCTCCACGCAAGCGACCTGAAGCTGATGAAGCAAGAGACCTGGTTGATGTTTGAGGATTCCTCTAGGAACTTCAACACTCACGACGACCTGCTGATGCAGGCCCTGGGGCTTCCGTCAGTGACGATCTTTGTCCTGGCGAACGCGGAGTTCCAGCCCGGATCCCTTGAGAGGACCGGCGCCCGGGTGATCGTGCGACACCCTGGGTGCAGGATGATCCTCTTGGAGGACGTCGGATGGCAGAATCAGAAGCAAATCGCTAAAGAGATTGCCAAGACCCGTCACGACTTCCTGCTCTGCTTTCTTTGTACAGCTTGGAAGACCAAGTCGGTCTTAGCGGACAGGCACACATGTTGGTTTTGCCGAAACCTCTATGCTTGTGTTGCAGGAAGGCTGTGTAGAGGACCACGTTGCTGAAGCGTTTCCTGCTGAAGCGTTTCCTGTTGAGGCAAGGCAGGATGAGGTCGAGCAATCTGGTACTCTAGACTTAGATGCTTTAGTGGATCCTAGAGATAACAGGCCCGCGTTTATGGACGAGGCAGAACTCGCCGAGGAAGCAGACTTCTTAGACACGTTGCCTCTAGCAGGGATGAACTACTGGTGCAGGTACTTCGGAGCGCAGGTGCTTCAGAGGAACTGGTGAATCCAGCTAAGATCTCTAAGTGTGAGTCTTGCAGAGTGAGCGAAGAGAAGGTTCGCACACACCCTGTCTCAGCTCCACCACCTTACGAGTTCAACCACACCGTTTCGGTAGACGCGTTGGAGGCTGCAGACTACACGGGCGCGAAGTTTAGCTGGCTGAACATAGTAGATGTCGTCACGAGCTACCAAGTCGTGACCCTGGTCCGCGTTGGAGGCGGACACACTGGGTCTCACCCTTCGGGTTGCCCAAGGTAGTATCCCATGATCGGGGACCGCACAACCGCGGTGTTTTCGCACACGGGTTGAGCAGCCACGCATAGGAAAGTGCGAACGGCATGGGGGCATCATACAGCATAAAACGAGCCTTTAAGCGTTTGGTCAAGGGCCACAGCGTAACAGGCAAAGATGATGTCAAGGACGCCGTGCTGGATGCGCAGGTGGCGAAGAACGAGTTCATGCGTGTCGGAGGTGTCAGCCCCACACAGTGGGTGCTTGGACGACTTCCCCGCGGAGTCGGACACGTCTTGGACGAGGTGTCTCCACTTGCAGCACGGTGAGCAAGATCATTGGGTTCGACAACAAGACCGTTTGGGTCGTTCACCAAGGAGTTCCTGTGGCTAGGAGCCTGGCTCGACTCAGACCGTGTACTTCGGCTGAGGTTCTGAGGTTTCAGGTGTTTAACCGGTGCAATCTACAGTACGAGCACACCGAGGTTGAGAGAGAACAGCAGAGGCACATAGATGCCACCGGGGATGATCTATTACTAGACGACCCAGACGAGCCAACAGACGATGGTATCGGAATAAGTTCTCCGGTCCGAATGGACGCTGATCCTCCGGATCGAGAGACAGCTGCGACGGAGAGAGCTGTCAGAAGGAGAGTTGGTTCAACACGTGAAGAGTCACGGGCGTGACCGTGGAGGAACCGGAGAACGAACAGATGGACCCAACAGGAGGGATCCAAGAGCCGATGGCTGAGGACACGGCAGCAGAAGCAGACGTGGAAGCTGAAGTCACAGAGGACTCAGCACTTTTCCTAAGAGCTTATGCAAGCCACTTTTGGGCAAAGGACCAAAAGGTCGTTTGGAACGCACTCCCCGAAAAAAGGAGTACGAGGCCATAAGGGTTTTCTTTGCAGACCGCGTGGAGGACGACAAGAAAGTGGTGCAGTGGCGCAAGCGGCGCAAGAACTTTACGTCGAAGAAGAAAAAGGAGAAGTACGGTAAGATCCTAATTTACCACACGTGCCCAGAGGATGTCCAGAAGGAGTTGGACAAGAGCAAGGCGAAATGGTAGGACTTCAGTGCAGCGATCATTATACATGACGCTCAGTATGACGAGTTGATTCGTGAAGGACATCAAGTCATACCCACCCAGTGGGTAGAGTTGGACAAGAACCACAACAAGAGACTTCTTGATCCAACGGTAGAACGCTACTACAAGAGTAGGTTGGTTGTTAGGGGAGACCTTGAGAAGGGTGACTTCAGGAGTGATAGTCCTACCGCTAGCATAGAAGCTCAGAGCTTAGTGTTGTCTTTTGCGGCTTCTAGGAAGTGTAGGATTCAGTCAGGAGGTGTGACGAACGCCTATTTCCAAAGCGAGGAGATAGATAGAGTACTTTACTATCTCAGTCCAAGGGAGGACTTCCTGGGCTAAAGCCCCACCAGCAGCCAAAGGCATAGCCAGCAGGAAGGGAGTGGGGCGTGTCAAGCACTTAGACTTACGAGACCGCTGGGTTCAAGACCTAGTCGCCAGAGGGGACCTCAAAGTGGAAAAGGAGCTCCTAAAGATGATGCCGCTACACCGAAGGGGTTTACCAGCGGCATTGGTTGCTGGATGCCTGCGAGTTGCAAGAGCCCAAGGAGAAGACGAGGAGCCTACGTGGAGCTTAAGCAGTGGAGACTGGTTCCTGGTGTACGTTGTGATGGTGCATATGAACCTTCTTTGGTGTATCTTCAAGTGCATCTTCGGGCTTTTCGGCCGACGCAACCAGAAAGCAGTTACCCACGCGGTGGGGACCTGCACCAGCGAGGACTGGAACGAAAGAAGGCCTGAGACATCGCCACTTGTGATCGGCGAGTCAGGCCATAGAGGGGCCAACTTTTGGAGCCAAGGCCCTGCAGCCACCCCTGCGCCGGTGGCAGCTCCACCATTAAACGGTTCCTGCTGAGACGAACGTGAGAGAAAGGAGACCTAGAAACACCGACCCCGTCTACCTGACGGTGAGTGGCCAGAAGAACAGCTGCGGAGATCTCAACCACCCTTGGCGTATGAGACCCGGCAGTGTCACACGGCTGCCCAGGCAAGTGGCCATCTCTACTGGCTACACGCTCTGAGGAAACTGTGGAGGCTAAGTTCGTTTGAAGATTTGAAGCTTGAGCAACGCTCGGCTAGCAGATCCATCCTGCTTATATGGACAGACTCCTGCCTGAAGGGAATGGGTCCATGGAGGGGTGTCAGGATGTAAAGCTTATTCTGATGTCATGCATGTTACAGGTGCTCACCGCAGCCCCTTCGGTGGTCAAAAGAGCTTGAGATAGAAAGGTTTAAAAGGGACCCCAAACCCTTTCACCCAGGCAGCAAACGTGTTTGTGGGATTGGGTTTGTCACGAGCCCAGGCACGTGTTGCGGAAAACATAACCCCAAGTGCCCATGACCGTAAGACTCTTGCTTTGATTTTGCCTTTACCACCCATTGTCAATGGCTTAGCCGCTGATTTGAAACCCTTTGTTATTGTACCACTCCTCCCCGTGCAAGACCCTTCATGCTGTCGGCCACATGTTGAGGTAAGGTATATAGTAAGAGTAGGTTGCAGATCTGGGTGAATGCAGGTGCGGATGTGAATGCGAAGGACCTCCGCTGGAGCTCATGAAGTGGCGGTTGACATCTCTACGCTGAGTTTAGGGTTTAGGGTGTCTCCGGTCTTGCGGGTGCTGGTGTACCTTTCGTTGGTCGGATGTGTGCCTTTGCAGCCCGAACTTACCATTCCCAGTGCATAACCCTTCATGCTGTTATGCCTTGTTGGACATAATTCAGGTTTAAGCTGGGATGCTAGGTTGATGCTGCATGTCTTTCTGGACCGGTCTGTTTTCCTGTCAGTTCTGTAGGGAGGTTTTGGACAAGAGGCTGTGCAGAGCCAAAGTTTCTAGTTCCAGCATGTTGGCCGCATATTTGCTGAGGTTGAAAGCCCTAGAACGATGCAGATGATGAGCTGTCTGTGGACTGTCGAGAAGCCCCAAACATGCCTTCAGATGCGAACCCTGAGCCCTAAAGCTGAAGCCCTAGTATTGAAAGCACTTTTCCCAGGTGTTGTATTCAACCCTACTTTGGGGTTTAGGGCATTGTGTTCTGGTTCTGAGCTTTAACATGGGTTTCAGCCCCATAGGCCCTTCAGACCATCTGAAGCCATCAAACCTAACACCCGAAGCTCAGAACTTGAGCTCTTGCTGCGTGCTTAGTCCTACGACATCACGGGCCCCGTCACCGAAGTCCGGCAAGGGAAGGGCCCAGAAGCAGAGCCCCGCACGGGCAGGCCCACGATGGCAGGACACCGCTTGACAATGCTGCCTCGTCCGGCGACGAGAAGATTGCTCGGGTTCTTGTTGATGCAGGCGCAGATGTTGCTGTTAACGACCCGGGATCATGTTCCTTTCAAGACGGGGAAAAGGTGTTTGGGGAGGCCATTGGCAGAGGGTAGGTGGGGCGTTTGTGATTTGAGGGTAATATTTGGGTTCTTGTACTTGCCGTTGCGGCATGGGTGCGCCGTGCAGCTTATAGCCGACTCTCCAACACCCCAGCTGAGAGTTCTGAATCGTAGACATCTGACGATGGAGCCATGTTGTAGGGGTTGGGCCCACGATGTTTAATGTTTTGGAGGCATCAGACACAGGCAGGAGGTCAGTAGAAATAAGACGAGTCAAGCTCAAGGGAAAGCACGTTTGCTTGCAGGAGGCGCGGTTTGGATCGGCCAGGTTTTCGTTTCATGTGGGTTCCAGTTTCTGGGTTTGAAGCGGACTTCAGGAATCGCAGCAAAGTCTAAGGCGGCTAAGGTTCACTGGGCAACTTCATTCTGGCAAGTGGGGGGGGGGGGAATCTCAAGTAGCCATCGTCAGCCGGGTGGAACTATCCTTGTGAGCAACATTCCCCCAGCAACAACGTGTTGGTGGGCCTGAGAACCGTGGTCACGAGGCCAGGCGCCTGTTAATTATCAGAGAAGTGCTGCGGCCAGTACAGTTGCAGCTGCCATTTGACCACCCGTTGTGAATGGCTTGGCCGCTGATTTCGAGTCCTTGGTCATTGTACCTCTCCTTGCAAAACCCATCTGTTGAGGTAAGGTATGGTAGGTTTCTGGTCTTGGTAAATGCAGGTGCGGATGTGAATGCGAAGGACCGCCGCTGCAGCTCATGATGAAGTGGCGGTCGAGATCCTTACGTTGGGTTTAGTAAAGTTTAGTGTTTAGGGTGTCTGCGGTCTTGCGCTGGTGTACCTCTCGTTGGTCGAACGCGTACGGTAACTTGTGTGTAGGAAAGCGGACTTTCGCAATCCGAGCTTACCATTCCCAGTGCACGTCCCTTCCTGCTGATATGTCATGTTGGGCATGCTAAAGCCTGAAATGTCTTGATTTCTTTGAGGGAGGTTAGGTTGATGCTGCATGTCTTTCTGGACCGGCCTGTTTTCCTGTCAGTTCTGTAACGAGGTTTTGGATAAGAGGCTGTGCAGAGCCAAAGTTTCTAGTTCCAGCATCTTGGCCGCATATTTGCTGAGGTTGGAAGCCCTAGAACGATGCAGATGATGAGCTGTCTGTGGACTGCCGAGAAGCCCCAAACATGCCTTCAGATGCGAGCCCTGAGCCCTAAAGCTGAAGCCCTAGTATTGAAAGCACTTTTCCCAGGTGTTGTATTCAACCCTACTTTGGGGTTTAGAGCATTGTGTTCTGGTTCTGAGCTTTAACATGGGTTTCAGCCCCATAGGCCCTTCAGACCATCTGAAGCCATCAAACCTAACACCCGAAGCTCAGAACTTGAGCTCTTGCTGCGTGCTTGGTCCTACGACATCACGAGCCCCCGGCACCGAAGTCCAAGGGCAAGGCAAGGTCCAGAAGCAGAGCCCCGCACGGGCAGGACCACGATGGCAGGACACCGCTTCACTGGGCTGCCTGGCACGGCTACGAGAAGATTGCTCGTGTTCTTGTCGATGCAGGCGTAGATGTTGCTGTCAACGACCCGGTATCATGTTCCTTTCAAGCTGGGGAAAACGTGTTTGGGGAGGCCATTGGCAGAGGGTAGGTGGGGCGTTTGTGATTCGAGGGTAATATTTGAGTTCTGGCACCTGCCGTTGCGGCATGGGTGCGCCGTGCAGCTTATAGCCGACTCTCCAACACCCCAGCTGAGAGTTCTGAATCGTAGACATCTGATGATGGAGCCATGTTTTGGAGGCATCAGACACAGGCAGGAGGTCAGCAGAAATAAGACGAGTCAAGCTCAAGGGAAAGCACGTTTGCTTGCAGGAGGCGCGGTTTGGATCGGCCAGGTTTTCGTTTCATGTGGGTTCCAGTTTCTGGGTTTGAAGCGGACTTCAGGAATCGCAGCAAAGTCTAAGGCGGCTAAGGTTCACTGGGCAACTTCATTCTGGCAAGTGGGGGGGGGGGGAATCTCAAGTAGCCATCGTCAGCCGGGTGCAACTATCCTTGTGAGCAACATTCCCCCAGCAACAACGTGTTGGTGGGCCTGAGAACCGTGGTCACGAGGCCATGCGCCTGTTCATTATCAGAGAAGTGCTGCGGCGAGTACAGTTGCAGCTGCCATTTGGCCACCTGTTGTGAATGGCTTGGCCGCTGATTTCGAGTCCTTGGTCATTGTACCCCTCCTTGCAAAACCCATCTGTTGAGGTAAGGTATGGTAGGTTTCTGGTCTTGGTAAATGCAGGTGCGGATGTGAATGCGAAGGACCGCCGCTGCAGCTCATGATGAAGTGGCGGTCGAGATCCTTACGTTGGGTTTAGTAAAGTTTAGTGTTTAGGGTGTCTGCGGTCTTGCGCTGGTGTACCTCTCGTTGGTCGAACGCGTACGGTAACTTGTGTGTAGGAAAGCGGACTTTCGCAATCCGAGCTTACCATTCCCAGTGCACGTCCCTTCCTGCTGATATGTCATGTTGGGCATGCTAAAGCCTGAAATGTCTTGATTTCTTTGAGGGAGGTTAGGTTGATGCTGCATGTCTTTCTGGACCGGCCTGTTTTCCTGTCAGTTCTGTAACGAGGTTTTGGATAAGAGGCTGTGCAGAGCCAAAGTTTCTAGTTCC